TTCTGGGTGAACAAATTCTAGTTTGCATATCTGTAAATTTTTTGGGTTTGTGTTATTGATAGTTGACTAGTCATCTTTATCTGCTGTTTGATGTTTACATGATAATGATAATTTCACACACTTTCACCATAGTTGTTGCTAGCACAGGGGATGCCTAGATTGACGGGTCCTTCTGAGTGCCTAGGTTGTCACTAGTAATCTTCTAGGGTTGCAGGTACATTGTGGCATGCTCTGTGTGTTCTATTGATTGTGATTGTTCATGACTAGCAGTTGACTAGTCATATGTGTATTTGGTCAAGGTTTAAAGTGTGTGAAGATTGCTGTGTTGTTGTGTCTTGTTTGTGTGATTAAATTTACCCCTCGTCACCTAAGTACCAATTTCAACTTCTCAAGTCCCACATTAAAAACTCAAAGATAACAGTCTAATTGATATGGATTAAGACCTTAATAAAAACATTAAAAGCATCAAAATCCGGATTCATAGGTTTTTTTTTCTTCTGATCAAATGCAATGAAGTATTAGTTTCTTTCAAATATTAAAATACATTTTAAATTCTAATCATCCTCCCTCAGTATCGCTTATATCAAAATATTTTAAACTCTTATCCGCCTCTCCTATTAGTTAAAAAAACATAGCTCTAAGATTCACATTATAACAACAATAAAGTATTCTGACATACTTTTATTTATCGAGGCACCCACTTAAATTGAAACAAAATACAGCTAATTACATCGTAAGGAACAAACCAATTAGCAACAAGATGCCTCTCGGGCCAATTGGCTTAGGCTTGAATTCAATATGTTTTTCATGAACCTTGCCAAAATGGAAATTCTCATTACATCACTATAGCTAGCAACAAGACAATAAATTATATCGGCCATCGTGGTACGTACAAATTCGACATTAATTTCGATTTGATTTTGCATCCCGCTAGAACTTGTAGAACCAAATAATTCGTCATGTTAACGTCTGATATGAAGAAGTTGAGCGTTTGAAGGTGACCCAAGCAACTGGTCGATCGGTCTATTTGGGAGATGTTGATGGAGAGAAATTCAACTTAGCCAGTCCCAAGCAGCTGAATAATCCCATGCCATAATAACCTGGAGCTTCATGGCTACTTCTCTCATGGAGGGCCTTTCACCTTGCAACCCTAAACAGTTTTTTTGCGAGATCAACCACTTTCAAATCCAAAGTAAGTGAAAATTATAAATTGTATACCCTTTCAAATCCAAATAAAATTTACAAATTTTAATTTTAATTTTATTAAAAAAATTTATAAATTAATAACAAAATTAATATTTTTGTATATACAAAATAAAAATGAGAGGCATTATTATTACTAATCAATAAAGATATCTATATCTATCAATAAAAATTTCTTAAAATAAAAAGAGGGGGGCGAGAAGATTTCATTTTATGGTAAAAAATTCATTCATCTCAGCTATTTCACAAGAAGAAAAAGACGAAAACAGAGGATCTGCTGAATTTCAAATAGTTAGTTTCACCAATAGGATACGAAGACTTACTTCACATTTAGAATTACACAAAAAAGACTATTTATCTCAGAGAGGTTTACGTAAAATTCTGGGAAAACGTCAACGACTGCTGTCTTATTTGTCAAAGAAAAATAGAATATGTTATAAAGAATTAATTAATCGGTTGGATATTCGGGAGTCAAAAACCCATTAATTTGAAGAGGCATTTTGAATTATTTGATTTATTGGATCTTGAATTTTAATGAACTTTTGTTAGTTTTTAGCAATTCATGAAAGAATGAATCGAGGACAAACCGATGAATATACTAGCTACAAGAAAAGACCTCATGATAGTCAATATGGGCCCCCACCACCCATCAATGCATGGTGTTCTTAGACTCATCATTACTCTAGACGGTGAAGATGTTATTGATTGTGAACCAATATTGGATTATTTACACTGAGGGATGGAAAAAATTGCGGAAAACCGAACAATTATACAATATTTGCCTTAGGTAACACGTTGGGATTATTTAGCTACTATGTTCACAGAAGCAATAACTGTAAATGGACCGGAACAGTTGGGAAATATTCAAGTACCTAAAAGAGCTAGCTATATCAGAATAATTATGTTGGAGTTGAGTCGTATAGCTTCTCATCTGTTATGGCTTTGTCCTTTCATGGCGGATATTGGTGCACAAACTCCCTTTTTCTATATTTTGAGAGAAAGAGAATTAGTATATGATCTATTCGAAGCTGCCACCGGTATGAGAATGATGCATAATTATTTTCGTATCAGAGGAGTAGCGGCCGATCTACCTCATGGTTGGATAGATAATTGTTTGGATTTTTGCGATTATTTTTTAACAAGAGTTGCTGAATATCAAAAACTTATTACACGAAATCCTTTTTTTTTTTAAAACAAGTCGAGGGAGTAGGCATTATTGGTACAGAGGAAGTAATAAATTGGGGTTTATCGAGACCAATGCTGCGAGCTTCCGGAATACAATGGGATCTTCGTAAAGTTGATCATTATGAATGTTACGACGAATTTGATTGGGAGGTACAGTGGCAAAAAGAAGGAGATTCATTGGCTCGTTATCTAGTCCGAATTGGTGAAATGATAGAATCTATAAAAATAATTCAACAAGCTCTAGAAGGAATTCCAAGGGGACCCTATGAGAATTTAGAAATACGATACTTTGATAGAGAAAGGAATCTGGAATGGAATGATTTTGAATATCGATTTATTAGTAAAAAGCCTTCTCCTATATTTGAATTGCCGAAACAAGAACTTTATGTGAGAGTCGAAGCCCCAAAGGGAGAGCTGGGAATTTTTCTACCTTGATCAACCACTTTCTTCGCTGGCTCCAAATTTTCTACCTCGATTATTTTACCATCAATCTTGGAGAGTCCGGTCCATGAGATCGAGTGAAACTTAACCTCGCTCCGGGTCAACTCACTAGTGCAGCAAAGAATGGCCTGACCCAACTCACGATTGTGCCAAATCCTAAAATTTAGAGTCAAGCTGGACCCGGTCCGGCTCATGATGATCCCAGCAGAGTTTGGGAGATGAACAAATTTATGAGAAGAAAACTAGAAGTCTGGAAGCCAACAACTTTCCTGGGCCTAGATCTAGTATCGATGCTAGTTTTAACATATTTTATTAAAGCCTGGAATTAAAAATGTTTTTCATGAGAAGTAGCAAGCACTGCAATTTATAAAATCACACCAAGACTTGGGGAGACGTACGATTCCAGTCAACAAGACTTGGGGACATGACCAGATTCTATTCAATGCTAACATAACCTTTGTTAAAAAAATAAAAATAAAAATCCAAGTCTAGAATTAAAATGTTTTTTCTAATCATCCTCTTTCGGTATCGTTTGTATCAAAATATTTTAAACTCTAATCCGCCTTTCCTTTTAGTTAAAAAAACATAGCTCTAAGAATCACATTAAAACAACAATAACGTATTCTGAAATATTTTTATTTAACGAGGCACCCACTTAAATTGAAACAAAATACAATTAATTACATCGTTAGGAACAAACCAATTATAGCAACAAGATGCCTTTCGTGCCAATTGGAGTTGTTGCAAAATTAAAGTTATTTATATTAGCACTCCTTCAGGTTTTTTGGTGTTTTCATAAAGCCCCTTGAGGTTTTAGAAATTATACAATTCCTCTCTGAAGTTTCAAATTGTTTTCACAAAACTCATTTTTATTGATTGTTCGTCCAAAAACTGATTATTTCATAAAAGAAAATTTATGGAAATGACAAAATTAATTAACCTCAATGAATATATTGTGCAATCTAATCTTAAAGGCTAACTTTGTCTATTGGATAATTTATATATATA